CAAATTCGTTAGGAGCGATCCTAGCAACCTTCTGCTAAGAAATACTGTATACAGCCTCCCCCACTTAGCAAAATCCCACAATATGGCAAGAAAGATTTGTATGTCTAAGAATAGCTACCTTACCACATTTTTCAAAATGACTGAGCTGTAATGATTTAAATCTTCCCTATCACATTTTCAGCAAGATGTGCCTCTACAACACTATATCAATGTGTTCTGTTCAGAGTTTTGACTCTTTCTCCTTTTTTAAATCACACTATTAACATCCCTGACATTTTAGAAATAATGTTTATTGATTTTTCTGTTAACACTGCTATAAATTAAGTGATGTAATGGACAGGATTACTGAGGTACTATAAAGAATGTGTCCTCCAGATTCTTAACTCCTGGTTGAAAAAGACTGGATTAACTCAGAAATAAGTGCAGTTCTGTGTTGTGATTTTCATGGTTTAGGTTTGGTAGAACAATTTTGATATGACAGAAATATGACACAAATATTAAAACTACCTGCTAAGTATGAAATGACAGAAGAAAAACACCTTGTTTAAATGAAACTGAGAAGTGAACGGTTGAGAAAAAAACAGATGAAAAATTCTTGATCACAGAAACATAGGATACAGTCAGTATCAGAGTGGTCTGAGTTACTTTATCTGCAGCAACAGTAAATGGCTAAACCAGGAAAATGGTGAGTTATTGTTGGCAAATCCAGCATCAAGGTGTCACACATGAAACATGTCCCCTCCCATGGCTGGGAGCACTTTGGTAGCAGAAGTAATTGCATCTGAACAGTGTTGGTTAAAAAGGAGGGGAGCCATGTATGGACACATGTGCTCCACAGCTTCCAGAGTCCTTTGGAATCCTGACTCACAGATTAATTTTTAAGACTATTTCTGCAGGCTCTTCAAGTCACCAAGTTTTGTTCTTGTTTTACGGGGTAGTTTCTCAGCCCCTGAGCCTCCTGTAATAATGCAATTCAATTTCTATCCTTGGATGTTTGGTTTTACATTCCATCATCACTAAGCATTGATTAAGCCTTAGCACATATACTTGATTGTGTTTACGACTTTGTTTCCTCAGGGGAAGGTCAGGCTTTATGACAACATCAGTCTGTTAAAATCAAAATTGTTGGTGATGCTACTGACTGTGATCAGCTTCATTCATCACATTACAAAATTCTCTTGCTAGTTTCCACACAAAAAAAAATTAATGTAAGGCATGGATTAGGAGCAGTAACAAGAATCAAAAGTGGACTTGGGCACCTGTGTTCATAGAATTAATTACATTAATACTCAGTTTCATCATAGTCTTAGAAACACATTTGTCAGAGTGTTGTCTCTCCCCCTGCTGAAGTCCTTCTGCTTTGTCTACACTTCTATAAATATCCATCGGGGTAAAAAAAAATATGAAGGATCAGTAGTGTCTTAACCCATTTTTTTTTTCAATCCCTTATTCCAGTGTTGTTAAATTTCAGAAGGTGCCTGAGAAATCAACGGGGGCCAGTCTACCTCCTAACAGGTGACTGTATCCATCAATCCAGCATCACTCCACACTCTGTGGAAAATTCCTGGATGTGAAGGCTACACCAGTGTCCTGGATCTTGGTGAAAGCACTTCAAAACAGGTGTGGAGCCCTCAGCCAGAGCCAGGATGAAAAGTCACGCCCTGACAATGCCTATCCCACACCCATCCTAACAATAAAAGCCTTTCAGTCTCACACTTCCAGCTCCACAGAGAGGACCCAACCAAGGCCACACAGCCTGAAGTTCTGTCCACAACCACAGAGTCACTCTCTGCTGCTTCACATCTCCCACTCATCTTCAGAGAGGTTTCTAAAATGATAAAAGGTCAAATGCAACCTCTACAGATTAACTCAGTATTAGTTATCCTTTTTTTTTTTTTTTTTTTAATTCCTGGTTCTTACACCACGCTCTACCATGTGACAAAATTTGTTCACTTTCATATTTGGGGAGATTTCTCCCCCTTTGTCTCGTTTCTGTTCTCCACTCTCTGTTTTGTTTTTGTTGTTTTTTCTTTAACTTTTTTCCTGTTCTTATGAGGTTTTATTCTCTCAATTTCCCTCACCACTTAGCATTTGACTGTGGCACTTTTGGGCTGCTGCCTTCTTAACTGGGACATTACACCTGCCATTTACTACATTTATTACACACAGAAGACCCAATAAGTTTGAGCTGTTTAGGCAGTGCCACTATCTGTGTATATCTGTATCTGTGTGTAGCTTATATAAATAACTAATATAAATATTATACATCATACATATAATATATGTTTATATGGTATTTAAATTAATAATATATATAAATAACAGTAAAAACCATCCACCAAGTTACAAGTAAGCAATTCAGGAGATAGGGCTGCAGTATCTGTAATTCCACTTCTGAATACTCCTAAAAAGAAGCTGAAAATCACAGTTGGCAACATTTTTGGAAGGCAACAGCAATCCATAAATACTCCTTAATTTTCCTGTCATTGCAGAATTAAGCCACTTCCAGCTCACACAGATCTTACCAGGTGTGCTAAATTGATGTCATTATAAGTCATCAGGAAATACCCACAGAGACCTGTAGCAACATTTGGAAGTTTTGTTAAACAGCTGTGTGCTCTAATTGATTTGTATTATTTAAAACAGCTAAAGCAAGTTATCGCCGGATGTAGAGAAGGGATGACTGAAGACCCCAGGGAGATTTAACTCACAAGAAAGCCAATCACAGGAACTTCATTTGAGCATTTTAAGATTATTACTAGAGGAAGTGCAATTAAATCATCACCATTTATCAATTATCATTATAAAATACTATGCAACCTTATCATGTTAATTTATTTATGAGAAGGTAACTAGTTGGCTTCTGCTTTTTGCAGTAATCTAGTCAGGAAAAATATTTCAAGATGTTTTCTCTGGAAATGAGCATAACTTTCCACCGTAATCAAAAGTAACTAAAAAAAAAATCTAAATTTTACCTAAAATTTGCAAATGTCAAATGTCTCCACTCTTTGCAGCTTGTCTCAGTTCCTGAGATGTATTTTATTATGGATGTATTTTACCACAGAGAGTATACACCAAAATATAGCTGTATCAGGAATGTGCACAGGCCTGGCACCCTCATTTCATAAAATACTTGGGGAAAAAGTCCCAAAAAAGTCAGCAAGCCTTTCTTTTCCTGGTCTGCCAATCACACTGCAGATCAGCCCCAGTTAAAATATAAGTAAAAATTTAGTTAAAATTTAAGTAACATGCATGGCCCCTTGGCAAGCTCAATTTTTCTTCCCAGTGGTGGAGTGCTTGTAGCATCTAAAATTTGTATCTCTTTTGGATTAAAATCCTAAACCTTTTTACTCTGCTGCTCGTGTGTACCGAGTGCTCAAGCCTGATTTGATGAGCTTGCCCAGTGACTTGCATTATAGGATCTGTGTCCCTGCAGGCAAAGCCTAACCCACATAACAAAATGGGTCAGCAGAAAAGCAGCTAGGCAAGACAAAACTCCCTATTTCAGTTCTGAACCCTGATTCATTTGATGGAGAAAAGCAGTTTTTTTGCTTGTAGACCTGACTCTTGCTTTGATCTGAGGCTTGCAGGCTAGTTTCCATTATCTTCTATAATCTCCTTATTTAACAGAAAGTCACATTTTGCAGCTGTTAACTCTGCTAATTTCTTCAAAATGTTCTTCCTGTGTTTGTCACTGCACTCATAGTTGGCTGTACCACCTCTGGAGAGTGTCCCAGAAACAGACTCATCACTCCACACATTCTGCCACCCAAAACTCCTGTTTTTTGCAGGAATTTGTGTGTATTTATCCCCCATACACCTCCAGTTATTAGATGCAGGACAGTTTTTACTTTACTGTCCCTTAAGAAGCAAAAATAATCCCTGTGTGGGAGTGACCTGATTTTCCTTTTGGCTTCCACCACTCTGATTTCACACATTCCAAACATCCCGTTTATGCTTTATTCTCAGTAGTGTCACATTATTACATTATGTTATTAAAACCCAATTTCCTCATCTTCACTCACAGACGAGCCAGGTAATTAATGCTCCATGTGAAAAGTGTGTATTGTAAGAACCTGCCAGCTCACAACTGGAACTCAGACATGCACAAGCAATCACCAGGACACCCATGGCTTGGTAGGCTCTCAGGAAGCTGTTACAAGATAAATAATAGTCTGTGGCTGCAAAAACAAGAATGCTGCTCATGTTCCCATGGCTGAGCACCATCTCCAAACAGGCATCTTGTAATTAAACTGTGTTATTTGAATTAAGGGAGCACCTGTAGGACTCGGTGGATGTTACATCCTTGTCATGCTGCTGTGGCATGGAAACAGCTAAAATCAAAAAAACAAGGGAGGAAGAGGAAAAAAAACCAAGAGAGGACACATTGGTATCTTGGTCTGATGGGGAAAGGAGCTAACACCTGGAGAGTCCCAATTCTCCGTTAGATTTGCTTGTGAGACCTGGAGCAAAGGGAAGACACCAGAGCAAGCAGCTCAGCTCTGAGCCATGTGGCACTATTAGACAGCACCAACTTATTTTTGGATAGGAAACCAATTTTCCCTTGTTCAGTCCTGAAGACCGCAAGCCTATTTAAAACTGAAAATTACACACAGTCTTTTTTGGTAATTTGATTACCAGACAATCCGTGAAATGCTACATTGATATGTTTTATTTACGTAAATAAGTCTGCTTTTGTGTTTACCCAAATTCACAATTACTCAGAAACTGCCTGAATTTTTGAGGACTGGCTTTGGAAAAGTATTTTAAATATGAGGTACTGTCAAAGCAAGCCTTAAATCGTAAACACTTATACATCCATCAAGATCCAGGACTGAAACTGTTGCTGGTAAATGGTTCAGCACAACATGATACAGACATATGTACATATTTTATTATTTTAATTTTTTTTTCCTTCTGTCCAAGAGAAGAGTAAGGCCACTGAGGATCCAGGCTTATATTGCATTTCCCAGTTTCCTGAAGGAGCAGAGGATTCTCACCTGCTGTGTAATAGTGTCCCAGGGCCCCTCCTGCAGACGAGCCTGGTAGGATGCATGAACACTTCCCCATATTTCATCCAGACTTAAAGGCCTTCCATCTGGGGGAAGAAACAACCACCTTCAGCCAAAGCTCTTAAGCACGCTGTATTTTTAATACAGAACAGCAAAATTAGAACCAAAAACTGTTCAAATCCTGACAGAAGGTGCACCCTGAATTCTCTGTACAGTTTTCTGCTCTGGCACCTGAGAGTAACAACTCACTGCACTGACTGTAAGGTGTGAAGTGCAACTAGTTCTGTAAAACAAAGTTTTGATTAGGTGGATTTAAAACCACAAAATAACATCATGAAGAATCACCCACTGTAAACATATGCAACTTGTAGTGAGAGAGTGGAGAAAATCTAAGGAACAAAATTCTGCAGATAAAAGCTTACTGCATTTTGGTGTGTCCACAATGTTTCCTTGAGCTGCATTTAGCATTGTTGTATCAGGTTCTCAGCTGCAATGCTAGAATTATGCCAAGATATTAGTGTCAACCCCTTAGAAAATAAGCATGTCTATTTTTAATGAATATTTGTTTATGGCAAACAGAGGATTTCGATAGACTTTCAAGAAGTAGCTTCATCTTGGCATTTATCAAGTGTCAGAAACCATCATCCTCTGATAATCAGTTTTATTCTACTGACATTTGTATGTCTGTAAAATGAAAAAGATTTATTCACACAATTAACATTTGAATGCCATGTTTAGACAGAAGTTCAAACCAGCTGCCTACAGCCTCTGTTTTATTTTCTGCACATATTTATAAAAAAGCATGAAGTTCTGAACTTATATAAGCACCATATAGCAGAATCATGTGGTAAATGAAGTATCTGAGGGGTAACAGCATATTAATCAGCTTTTCCATGCTATCCTCACAAAGCCTTGTTAGACCTTCACATCCACTGAATTGTGATGACAGATACCAGAGCTGTGATGGAGACAGTCTAACATTCACAAAGAAATTTGCTACAACAGCATAAATTTATTTTTGAAGTACGTATTTACACTCAGATCTGTGTGCAGGTGATATGAAATGCCATGCATATCTGCAATTTTGTTCTCAATGGAGAAAGTCCAAGTGTAAAATCTACAATAACACACGTTCTAGTGCAACATCTGATTTGCCACTCTAGGCTGTGCTCTGTACACTTTTCTCTGAGAATTTTTATAATAACACTGAGCAGATTCACGTACACGTGGAATGGGTTGCTCTGACTCTGTTAATCACATTTTTAGAAATGAGCAGAAGTTGTTGAAATATTAACCATGTTACAGTAAAAATCGAGTTCTGTCTTTACCACACGGTGAATTCATTCTATTCACGGGCTCCCAGACTTGCTCTGAACAAACATCTGTATTCTTGGGGCACTCTTACCCCCTTTTTCCAGCACCCTCACGTGTCTAGCAGCCCTGCTACACATTCTTGCAACCCACTGAGACCTCAAACATCCAGCTGGTCTGACAGAGCAGTCGGTAATTGTTGCTGCTGGCAACAAGGGCCCACTGTGGCACCTGCTGAGCCGAGCAGCCTCTTGCCTTCCTGCCTCTTTTTTACCCTGGGACGGAGCTGAACTGGGAAGTTCAGCCACAACAAGAAGGAAACAGCAGCCCCAAGCCAAGAGGAGGGGCAGGGGAGGAGGGTGAAGGCTCCAGATTCACCCATCTATGCATTTATTTAGTCACCATCCACCCACAAGGACACAGCTTGCTGTGTGTCCCAAGGTTCATCCCCAAACCCAGCTGGGATAGTTTTATTACTGAAACTGTTTAGCCTACATGAAATTTTTCTGAGAAAAGCTTCTTGACTGCCCAGCTGGGGTTAACTCATGTCACCACAAATAAGAAATAGTTAAAAGGCAGAATGCTGAGTGCCCTCTCACAGCAGCAAGGTGAGGCTGTCACACCACACAGGAGCTGCAGTTCTCAGCTGGACCTTAATTTCTGCAAAGAGCAGAAATTCTTTAGGCAGACAAAATTGCCTATTTATTTTCAGAGAAAATTCTCCGGCTTCCCAAGTTGCTGTGTTCTATTTTCTTCATCTTTGGCGAATAAACTTTCAGGAATTTCAGAGATTCCCAATTAAAAGGTTTCAACAATTTCTAAGATTTTCAATTAAAGGTTATTTGACATTTTGGCTGAATGGTGCACAAATTGTTTTGAGTCTTTGTTCTGATGTATTTTATAAAGAAATAATCTTAAGAAACCACTGCCAAAAGAGAAAATCACATTGGTACGGCTTAAGAGAATATATGATCATAAAAATTAATCCATTTCAGTTATGTCCAAAGCCACAATAAAACCAGATCTTACAGGATATGGTCTTTAGAGCAGCTGTGCTTCTGAGAAAGGACGTGGTGGTTACATGTTTCGGAGCTCAGGAAGTAAATCTGTATTCTGGAAAGCACTTCAGTCAGGCCCAGTGTGGTTGTGCATACAGAAAGTCATGCCTTCAGGGCTGGAGGAAGTTGCCCTATCTCAGAAGCTCCCTCTCTCTAACCACTGATTAGCATGGTTTTTATTGGCAGGGATTTAGCTGTCACTGAGCTGAGAGAGTATTTTGAGCAGGTCAGCCTGAAAACCTCATCCCTTTTCTCCTCTCCAGAGGAGTGAGGGTGCAGTCCTTGTTGACTCCCATTAGTCCTGCTCTTTCTTTTCAGTGTTTAGCCAGCTTTCATGCTGCTTCCTCTGCCTTTGCAGGAAAAAGGAGAAGTGTGAGACGAGCCACTATTATCTCCACACACGGGTGATTCCTGAATGCTGCCTGTGCTCACCTGTGCTGCTGATACCTCGCTGTGGGTTTTCTAATGTATGGCAAGAGGGTTCTGAATGCCTGGCTTCAGAAGGGGATGGTTCAGGTAAAGACCAAAGCTCCTTGACATCTTAAAGACTAGGAAAAGAGGAAAATACTCTGCTGATTAAAGAAAGCTTACTGGACCTAGCTCATCCCATCTGGCTGATGCCAGCATTGAAGGGGAAGGATAATTGCCTATACCATCTGTCTCCAAGAGGGCTAATTGCTGACATCAGATATCAGCAGGGGTTCATGCATTTCTTCAACTACCTATTTGGTAGTCTCAGAAGCCAGGGAAAGAAAGAAGGGCTCCATTTCTGGTCGGTATGACAGGCACGGGGCTGATTTTGGAGAAATTAGCCTCTGCCCTGAGCTCCTGACACTTCACTGTGACTTCAGCAGGTCTGAAATTAGGAATATATGCCACGTGGAAAGCATCATGAGGCAGTGAAAAATGTTTCTTATGTATATACACACTGCCTAAAAATATCCTCTTGTACCCTTTAATGTTCCCAAACACCTTTCCAGACAGTCTCATCGTGCTTAATTTTCACTGAACTGAAGTATTTGTCCTTGCACAGAACAAGATCTTGCCTGTAAATCCATCCCCTGAGACTACAAAAAAGTTTAGATGTCTCTCAAAATGTTTTAGTTCCGTTGCAATCAAAATTTCAAACCTTACCTTACACCACCTTATGCAGCAAACTTCATCTCACAAACAACAAAAAAAGGTCTAAAGATGAGTTCAAGAAAGTAAGATATTTGATCCAATTTAGACAGCAGCAAGGACATGGATACCACGCAACTTTTTCCTTTCTGCAGGAAGAAGTGATCTGTAATGCTTGAACATAACTTCTAGCAGAGAGGAGTGAAAACTGGATGTCTCACTGGCACAAGCTCCTGAGGATGCCAACCAAGTTGGAGATCATGGGAAAATCCCCCAGCAACTCTACAGGGAGCCTTTTTCTTAGGAGGGACTGAGAGACCAGGTAAATGGAAGCTGCGCTCATGCAGTGGGAGAAAGGCAGGATTTCATTGATTTCATCACTCAAGAGAAGTCTGTAAAGTGTCTGCTGGAGTGCAGATTTGGACAGGCTGGCATCAGCTGCTGTTATACAAAGGAATGAAGTGAACACTGCAAAAGCCCTCAGCCAGGCTGAACAGAAGAATGATTGTTTCCCCGGTGTGATGGGCACTGCAGACACTGCCAGGGAGGAAGCAGAGCTCTGAATTCCAGCTCTGTGCCCTGTGCTGGGGAAGGCAAGACAGGGCAATCCATGGAAGGATTACAGCTCACCTCCACCTCCCACCGCCAGCTCTAATTAGCACTGGGATCAGTACGGACAGGATCCCAGGGGAACCAGGAGCTGCTCATGGGAGACTTGTGAGGAACCCCTCCTGTTACTGAGTCTACAAATAATGGTAGGAATTTAGACTGGGAAATTGAGGTAAGTCTTGGGGAGATTGCTCCTAGATTAGCTCGGGTGAGGAATGTGGTGAGTATTGTTGATTGTCTGACAAATTGAGGAGCCCATCACATGGACTATTACCTCAAAAAAAAACAAAAAAAAAACCAACTCAGGGCATTTCCCAGAGTTTTCCTCACAGCAGGTTTGTGAGAAGACAAAGCTCTGGTATCTCAAGTGATTGTGAGCACATGCCAGCTGTACATTTCCCAAAATCCCACTTTGGGACCTTCAGACAGCACAGCACAGGCAGACCAACAACGTGCAGGGAAGACAGAATTCTTCATTTTGAAAAGTAAGCTGCCCATAATTAAAATCAGAGAATACCAGCTGGTAACACTGTAGGAAACACACTTAGTGCCAGCATTTTGTATCCTGCTCCCTTCAAGAGTCAGATTTTGTTATAATTTAAAAGAGAATGTAAAATGCTGAAAAGAACCCAGGTGACCTTCGGAGGCATCTAAAAAAAGCCCTTGTTTTCCATTGTGAAAGGTTCCCAAGAAGTGTTTTAAAAGACAATTGTACTTGTAGGAGCAATTACAGCTCTGTACTGCAAGGGGAGCTGTTGGCACACGATACCATGATTGTGCATTAGATCATCCACTGGCTCCTGTAATACCCACTTCCAGCTATAAGGAGTCATGTTTCAACACCTCCGATTCCCTGGTGCTGACAAGCTAAACAACTTGTTTTGTCTCTGTGAGCTCTTCTCTGGTGATTAACTGCTTATGGTGAATACTAATTATATGGAAGTACAGTACAGTAGAGATACTGTCCTACTTCCTCTACCTGCAGCGTCTCCGTCCTCTTCTGTAGAGGCACTGCACTATAAATTCAGCAAAAATCAAGAAGATGACATTTTTCAGGACCACAAATAGGCTAACCCGTCTCTCACAGCAAAACTACCTTTATCTTCCTGTCTGCACAATAAGTTCAAAGGCAAAACACTGCATGTTTGTAAATGCCTGCAATAATGCTGGAAATAAATTTGCAACAGGATGTGTGCAAATGAGTTTTGGTGGTGGTAAAGGCAGAGCAATGTCCCCAGTTCCCCATGTCCCACTCTGATAATTTACCCCAAATTGTCTATTCCTGAAACTGCACCTCAGACTAAAATCTTTCCACCAGGGAGCCTACGAGAATTTGTTCTTCAGTTTTGAATCTGAAGTGCTTTTTGAAACGCTAACACTGCAAAATTAGAAACCATTAAACAATATAAGGCAGAGAGTGATTAAATCTACCAAACACATTCAAAGCAGCTTAAGCTACTTTTTAATTAAAAAGGAAAAGATATCACTGGCAACATTCAGACATCTTTATCTAGATAAAGTTAAGATATTACTCAAAACAAAAAAGATGCTGATCATAGAATCATTTAGGTTGGAAAAGAGCTCTAAAATGACCGAGTTGAAGCCTTAACCCAATACAGCCATGCTCACCACTGAACACTGTCCCCAGGTGCCACAAGCTGGTCCTGCTGGTCACACCACTGCAGGAACAAGCCACTGGAGCACAGGCACTCTGGCTTGGGGCAGTGAGGAACAGAGAGCACAGCCAGTGCTGCAGTGTGACCACTCCGTGCCTGTTGATTAAATGAGAGACACCAACAGTGGCCTCCATGGGAGGCTGAGCGTTCCTCCTTCCTCCCCTGGCAGGATGGGGCCTGAAATCACAGTGGCCACAGCCACGGAGCAGTGGGTAACAAGATGTACATGCTAGGGAAGGAGACACAATCTGACTGTTTCAAGAGCCAGCTCCAATACAAAAAAAAAAAAAGTCAATATCATATTAGTATTATTTTATTTTCCCTTAAGCAGCAAATTTTAAAAGACATATTTAGACACCAGCCATGTGGCTCAAATTGGCTCAAGCACTGTGGTTATGTCCGCTGATTGCCCAGCCCAGTTTAAACCTGCAGCACTTAGTTTTTGTAGTCATTTTCAAGAAAAGAACAAGAAAAATGACCAGCAGTTTCAGTCAACCACAGGCAAGATGCCAGGAGCCAAAGATCAGCCTCCCTCAGGCTGAGATGATATCATCTCCTCCATGGTCCTGGAGCTCTGAGTCCAGAGCACTGAAAAATTCACTGGTGAGCAGCCTCATCTCTCAGCTCCTTATTACATCTCCTCCTCAACTTAATACAAAATTTTCAACATTTTCAGCACCCAGCACATTGACTCTACACTGGCCTTACCCAAAAAGCACGCTCTGAAATACAGCACAGGCACTTGGTAGCTGCTGGAGTACAGGACGTGGTACTCATAGCGAACCACTTCTTCTGTGCTGCAAACGCCGGCGGCCTGAGAGTCATCTGAGGGCTCCTGCAACGACACACGTGAGCACAGCAACACATCAACCTCTGCATCTGTACCCAGGGAAATTGTCACAGATTCCATAAGTGCACACAACAGAAATAATGCCAACCACCCCTTTCACTGCACTACCCGTGCAAACTCACAAGAGAATTTTTCAACGCTAGCAAGAAAATCAGAGAAGTCCAAAACCTACGAAGACATCTTACACACTTCCTTCCACAAACTGTGAACTATTTGCAAGGCTTTCCAGAACTAAGATCTTTCTAAGCTGCACCAAGGCTGTCTCTAAAATCTTCATGGCACAGTAACTGGCACAATAAGGGGGACTGCAGCTGTACCTCTCCTCATTATGTTCAGTATAGACCATTTTAGAAGTGTATCCTTAAATAATCCAGTTTTGCTTGCCAAAAGACAAATCAAATGTATCCACCAAAAATCCTCTGATCTACATTTTTTAAAGGCTTTTTGCCAGGAGTTGCTTTTGCTAATAATATAAAATATATCATATAATGTAATTATAATAATAACATAAAATGTAACAATAAAACAGAGTTGTTGTTTTTTTCCCTGTTCGTGTATATTCCAGGTGTAAAGTACTAAAGTTTATGGCAGATTTGAAACAAATCAAAACAGATGAAACTAACTGCATTGAGATATACCCCAGCTGCAGCACAAATTTCACAGCATTTCAAATTAATATTCCAACAGTGCTAAACACCCAGTTGTTTGGACTTTTCTAAAAGCTGTCATAACTCAATGTCTCTGAAAATGGAACCATTAAATTAATAATGCCATTAAGATTAAACATCAGAACAAACTTCCCAAGAAGACACTCTGGGTGTGGACTTGTTCAGTGCTCAAACCCCTTAATTTACATGCATGAACTAAGCAACCATAATGCCCCACAGGTTGGGTGTGCATTTCACAACTTGGCTATTGCCAAGCAACCCTGAATATTGCCTTATGGTATGTGTCCAAGCAAAACAGAAAAAGACTGAGCAGAAAAGAAGAACCAGCATCCTCTGAACACTATGTTCATATAACACACCAGAAATTTAAAGCTATTTTGCATTTTTATCTCACATCCTTAGTCGAGTCAGCAATGGATGAATCAATACATGAAGGAATCTAAAAACTGATTACAAAGTTTAACAGTGATGACACCCAAGATATTTTCAGTTTGGTTTTTTTTTCCCTGATGTGACTTTCCCCAGATTTAGTGTATTAGACACCCAGATGCTGCTGAGGCAGAGGGACAGAAGTTCACAAATGACAGCCCAGACCTTGGGAAGCTGCAGAGCAAGGTACTGCCCACACATTTTTGGACACAAAGTGAGAAGATCACAGATGGCCACGGGGCAGAGGTTTCCTGGTGAATCCTAGAAGTCTGCAGGAAAATGGTTGATTTTTGCTTCCGAGGAAACAAGTGCCTAAAGCGCTGAATGGGAATTCAACTAAGAATTTTGAATGTTTGAAAGCATGCTCTCTGGGTGAACCTGGTTTTAAAAACTGTATGGGAGGAGATCCTAAAGTCATGCTGCCAAAAGGACAGCGATGACTGCTGTTCTGATGTCACAGGCCAGATAAAGACAGGCATGGCATGCCCAGTTCCCTCATACATCAGTGACAGACCAAGAAGGGGAGTTCTTTTCCTCATCACACAAGTCATACCCAGTAGTTATTTGTAAAATATAGGTTAAAAAAAAAATAAAAAATTCTGCTCCATATGACGCTGAACCTTCTTTAAAATCGATTCAGTAAGAATAGCGAAAGAGACCATCAGCAGCCTGTGGGAAAAGAAAACAAACCAAACCCAGCTACAGACTGGTTTTCATGTGTGTAGGGGTGGGGAAGAGAAAGAGTCTGTGCTCAGAACTGAGCCTACATGGTGCTTCTCAGGCATTAATGTTTCATCAGATACCACAGCCTTGCCTCCTGCTTAGTCACCAGCTTACCCTGCCCTAAAAGATACTTCTGGAAATGGCAAGACTACCTGTTCCTGTGTTAAATACCACTGCTTTAGAAAAAAAACTGTCTGCATACACTGCATTCTGCATATAATGGTAAAATGACTAATTTGTGACTATTTCAGACCTGCACACAAAGGCAAATAGCTGAATCCTTCTCAGGGCTACTCTAATCCCCCTTCCTCTCAGTAAACAGCAATTTCACGTTTTCCGATTTAAAAACACACATCATTGATGTGCAATCGTGCTCTTTACAGTCTCTGCAAGTACAGCCCACAGTATTTTTGCAGAGAAAGTACATTTTATAGCCTACAAGTTTTGATGTTATCTCTGTAGCTGATGAGATGAACTTTGCTGATGAGATGAATAAAACTACTTCAGTCATTTTAGGTGATCTTTGGGACATCTAAAAATCTACAAATGGCTCACTAGAACCAAGGAGCCTCCGACAGTTTTATATCAGCCCACAAGACTTCATTTACACTCTTTAACCAGCTACTGATAAAACCATAAATACAAAACACAGATACAACTTATATTAAAAAAGCAAAACTGACACTTTATTTTTACATATGTCATGATAGCCTATTTTAACTCTGTCTTTGAATAATTGTTCTAGTTTCCTTTTCCTATTTATATTGTTCTGACTCTTTCTGAGCTAATGCTGAATTTCAGTTACTGTACTAAACAACACTGAAATCACATTTAAATTTGGATGTTAATTGCTGCAAATACGTCCACATATGTACAGACACCACAAAACAAAAGACAAAACACAAACATCAGCCTTAAAAGATGTCATATACAACACTAACCAAAAAAAGGATTTTAACCAAACTGCAATCATTAAAAATGGTATGAAGAGACTTGTTCATCAAATCCTTTGTTTCTGATTTTCAAATTTTCTTGCATGCCTGCCATGCTTCAAGTTAAAACTGTGAATCCAGGACTGACTGGCTGTTTCCTAAACAAACTGGGAAGCTGTCATCAGGAAGCATCTGCTCCTCTATTGCTCTCAGGTAAAATCACTCCTGTGCTATCATAATGGACTATTGAGCAGATGTTTAAAAGCAATGTATGTATTAGAAAGAAGATAAGCAGCAACAATCTAATTAATTACATTAGTTCCGTCATAAATGAATTAGCACTGATTTTAGTTGATATAAAATTGTCCTCAACCTTTAAGTATCCCCAAAACAAATTAAGTCCATTTGTTCCTTTTAAAATGTTAAATTATTTAAATCAATGGATAAGAAACACTGTCAGGTATCATTCTGAAGGCAAAATAACATATTTGTACTATTTCTATTCCTCTTGATGAGGAAGGCAAGTTTAAAACCTGTGGTAACAAGTTAATTTGACAGCAGGAGAGTGTTAATTGTGGTTTGGGGTAGTTTAGTGGCACCAGGCAGCAGGGAGGTGTGGGTTAAGGTACTTTTGGAGGGAGACCATAAAGGAAAGGCAAGGCAGACAGGGTAAACTGGGAAGGTGACAGACTTACCTAAAAAAACTGTGTTTCCTTACTTGCCATCAAACATTTTCCTATCTCCACCTCACCTGCAGAGGACCACTGAGACAGACTTTCTTGCTCAGCCTAAATTCCCTTTGAAACTAAGAAGCAGGTCCCCTTTTGGGGAAAAAGGTAAGAGAACTGGTGCAAATAAATATTTCTCCTGGTTGTCCAGACACTGTTGCTTTTCTCCCAGTTCCCATGCTCCTCATATCTCCCTTCTTGCTGCCTTGGCCTCTATTTACTCCTGCCTTGTCCAGGCCACTGGGAGATGCCCCTGCAGGACTGGGAAGAGGTGACACAGGCACAAGTATGGGTAATGCTACTTTCAGTGTGAAGAGGGGAAAAAGGAGATGCAGCCCACATTAGGAAGCAAATTTGCCCTCATTGCTTGGAATGAATTTACATCCCATTTCATTTCAGCCTCTGAGGTTGAAAATGTATCACTCTTCCTCTTCAGAGGTGCAGAGCCACCCTGAAACACAAGAGCTTTCAGGAGCAACTCCTCCAACACTTTCCCCCTGGCAAACAGGGAGATTTGAGCCTGGAAAGTGAATGGTGGGACATTGCTCACCAGGGAGAATTAAAGCAGAGGCTGATGAGCAGGGCGTGGCCGTGTGGTGAGATCCTATCTCTGTCTCCTGCCGGGTGTTCTCCCAAGCATTCAGACCGTGCCCCACGTTCTTGCTGCAGCCCTGCGGGTCCAGTCTCTGCAGGACATTTTCCTGCAGGTTCTGGTCCCTCCTGTGCTGGGTCTCAACTCACCTCATGGCCTGGCACAGCCCTGAGACCTCCAGACCTTGGCCACTGTCACTGACCACGCAGTCAGCCAGGTGACCCTGCCTGGGGAGGGGGAGACCGAGTGCATTTACTGGTTGTCACTGTTTTTCATCACTACTAAATATTCACACTGTGCTCAAATCTACAGGCTCTAATCTAATTTTCCCACTCTACCACAGCCTGTAAAAATGCAGAGATCTCCCTGAAGAATTTCAGTGTTATATGAATGTTGCACAAAACCCTTTCCCCACCAGTTGCACCATTTTTACGTACATTGATAAACTGCTCTCTTATGTGAAGAACACATGGGGAATCCAACCACCTCCAGGTGCTTTCTAGTGCTGAAATCACTAGTGACAGATGAGGAAAACACTAGGAAAACAGAAGTGGTCTGAAGCATAACAAAGTTATCTTATGGATTTATTTTCTGTGTGCAGCTACAAAATCCTCGCCACTCTCTTGGACTTCTTACAGTTTAGTCACCCAAGTGAAGGACCTGGTTAAATACTCAATAACAGAGAAAGAAAGTGGCTCTTAAATCATTTGGTGATGCTTGAAATACCATGTTGCAAGCAGCTTGCTTTCTCAAGACACAGCTGCCCTGAAAAGGCACTATGCCACCAGTGGAGTCAAGGTGAGCAGGTAGTGGATCCCTGAAACATGTAATTTTCCAAAGGGAAATCTTAGGACTGAACTCAGCGCTCTGGCCATGACACTATGTAAGCATCCACTCATTATCAAAATAACTA